TTTTCCAGATGTATTTTTTCTGTATCAAATTTGAACTTAGTAATTTTACAGAAAAGTCTATACAGTTAGACTGTATCATTTCTGTATTAAATTTGGACTTAATAATTTTACAGACAGTTTGTCTGTATTATTTTTATATCAAATTTAGACTTAGTAATTTTACAGAGTTTGTCTGTATTATTTTTATATTAAATTTGGACTTGGTAATTTTACAGAAAGACTATCAGTATTTTTTGTCTCAAATTTGATTTTAGTACATTTACAGAAAATTCCATATATTTGGTCTCTATTTCTTTTTGTTGTTGGGGGGGGGGGGGTTAAATTAACACATATTTTTTTTCTATTTACATTTGTCTTTATGAACTTTATAAATTTTAGAGAAATTCCTTGCAAAATGTCTGCTGCTTTTTTTTTATAAGTTTATAGCATATCCGGTACTTAGAAAATTTATATTATATATTTTTGTTCAGGAATCTTGGTATCCGATTATCTAGAACTTAAATAATTAATTGGTACTAAAATTTATGTTAATCTCAATCAGTGGTAATCCAGAGAAATATTTCCATCTTGGGCATGAAGATTTTACAGCGGGTTTACATTAACTTTTCAGCGGGTTTACATCTTTCACGTGTTTAGATCTATCACACAACAGGTGGTCTTGCAGGCTAACAAATGATTGCATCATACTACAATTCAGAAATCACGTGATTTACCTGTGCACATGGAAAGTCCCAACTAGCTATTTAATTACCATGCATACGATGTTTTCTTCAGATTTTAGTATATATGTGCATTTTTTTCACTCAGAGAAAGAAATCATATTCAAATTATCCTAAATAAATTTCAAGAAATGAGCTTACAATGTTCAAGTCTAGAAAGGGATGTGCAAGTAGTAGGTTTCCTAATTAAATTATCAGTGTGTTTAAGATAGATATTTACACTAGAGAATGTTAGCTGAAACTAACTTAGGTTGTTGTTTTTTAGCCTTTTGTCACATCACATTCAGTTTTTGGTACGAAGTAAGTTGTTTTTATTCAGATAAAATATCAGTTTTTCTTCAACTCTGTGTTAAATTCTACACCCAGTTTAAAAAAAACGATCCTGATTTTAATTAGTTAATAATTTACAAGTTAATTATATTTGATCTTGGGCTAATTCTTGTATAATCAATGCAATCAAATGACAGTTTCTCAAGTTAAATCTTCTACCCTGACAGCCTGAGGCATGTTAATTAGCCAGGTGGCTGTGTGATGCGTTCAAGCGTGAAGTGATTTCCTGTCGTGAATTCACACTTGGTTGCGTTATGTAAACAAGAGATTATCGGTATGCACTGAATCAACAGAACAGCTAAGGAATATTGCCTACACTGGGAATATTTATTAATTTTTTGTCAGAAAAAAAGGACATGGCGCCGAGAAAAGGGGGCATGGCTCTATACCTTGTTATTTTGCTTTAGATTTAACACTAAATTGATCCTTCTTCTTGAACTTTATGGTCTACTTTACAGCTCAACTTGTATAATTAAAAAAACAAAACAATATCGCTGACCAGAAATCTTTCATCTGTAATCGGAAAATTTCTTAAAAACAAATATAACGATTATAAGAAATGATTCCTCATAATAATTCTAGTAATGATCAAGGGTTTATTAAATTGATTCCATATTACTTATTAGACTTCGTACATAAATACATTTCTTTAGACTGTTAAAAATATTTAATATTTAAAAATCGGCAATCTTCGTAAATAAGGAGCTATTTGATTGGTCAGATTTTAAAATTTTTCTTTGCTTTTCTCTGATTGGTTAACGGTAATTTACCCACGCCATTTTGAAAAATAGATCGACGAACCGAATTGAGAGAGTTGGTGATGTTTAATAAAATTTAGCTAGTATTCGCCGATGAAATTGGTAGAAAATAGAGGTTTAGCTACAGCATGTTAGCATGGATCACATTTATAAACAAAGAAAAGCGAAAACGGAAGGAGGTTGGCGTTTTTCAAGCATCATGCCCTGGCTTTCCTGGTGTAAACAACGCCATATGCGGTAAGAATTTACATAAAATAGCACAGTAGTTTCAATTTTTAAAATGTGAAATGTAGATTAATAAATGTTGATAATATCTTTTATAACCAATTCATAGTAGGTCAAATTGAATGCAGATATATTGGACATGTTGGATTTGTGGCGAAAGAGAGTTTTGTTATGCTACTTTCTATCTTGAATTGTATGGATAATTACGGGCTTTCAACATGTTCAATGGCAAATGATATTATTTACATGGACCAAAAATGACTTAAAAATTAATTTCACCCTATCCCTCAGGCCTAAACATGGAATAATAACAGATAAAATCATCTTGGCATACAACCAATTAAATTTTGAAAAGTGAAGGAGGGGGGGGGGGGCAATCATTGCAAATAAGCTTCATGGATTTATGGTTTAGCATACTTATAATTATTTCAAAAATGACTTGAACAGTTTGTGTGGTTCCCTATCGTATACGATTTAATGATTCTAGGCACAAACTAATTATTTTTTATATTAATATATGATGATCCATATTTCCTTTCCCCAATAGACCCTTTTCATATGACAGATTTTCTCTAGGAGTTATTCCCCTTAGCCGCCATATTGTAGGGCAATATATCCAGATCCCTTCATTATTCAACCAAGTTCAATTTGTTATACTGGTGAATGAGGTAAAGATAACACTATTTTTCGTATGAATATACGTTTGTGAAGGCTTCTATTAATTCATGATTTTAAAATTGTAAATATTTTCCTACATGTATTTCTTGCATGCATGTTTAAAATTGGTTGCTCAAAGAGGTAAATTCACAACTTTGCCCTACAAGATGGCGGCTAAGGGGAATAACTCCTAGGCAAAATATGCCATAGGAAAAGGGTCTATATCAGTTTAAGATTTCAAATCAAATGACCCCCCCCCCCCCCCCCCAATTCCAATGAGGTGTATTGACAGTTTTCATTTTTTAATGGTCTGTATTTCTACCTGTTCTGCAAAACATTTATCAGTATCATTACTTTTTCAGTTTGAGTGCCTCTACAGAGCCAAAGAAGAAAAGCTGATTAGTTATAGAGGAATAGGACACCTACCCACCCACCCTCCCACCCTACCCCTTGAAGCATTGCAGGTGTGTAACATTGACAAATGACGATATCAGCTAATCATGTGAAGATTTCTTTTTGTGTGTGTCTGTGCATCTATTTTTGATATACCCCAGTACATTTTGATATTCTATTTTGTAGTCTAAGATTATGCAGGACCAAGCAGGATGACAGTGAGAAAACTGGAGATGTACTTCTTCAATAAAGTAAAGTGCTGTGCAAAAGAAACCCCAAAGCAGAGAGAAGATCTAGACTTTTGAATTCATATCTCATTATAAATGTACAATTTACAAAGACAATAAGATTGATAAAACATGACTTAGAAATGAGGACAATTGAAGAGTGAATACTGTATGTAAGACAGAAAAGATCAAGATTATTGCACAAAAAGTAACTAAATCAGTAATCTAAAGCCATTTCTCTTTAAAATCTGATTGAAAGCTGCATTTAAGAAGAAGTTTTTCACCTTTTTAGTACTTTTCTAGGCACTGCTTTGTATTATTGAAAGCTTTTTTTATGTACTTTTTGTCTATCATTCTTGTACCTTTTTTGAACTCCTAAATGTATTTTTTTTGTATCTTTCAGAATGTATTATTTTTAGATTTTTTTTGTTTTAAAATCGATTTTAATACAGAAATAATAGACTGATACAAAATTTATACATTTTGTATTATTTTCCTATTTTTCTTCAAGGTGCTCCAAATAATACAGAAATAATAGACTGATACAAAATTAATACATTTTGTATTATTTTCCTATTTTTTTTTCAAAGTGCTCCAAATAATACAGAAATAATAGACTGATACAAAATTAATACATTTCGTATTATTTTCCTATTTTTTTTCAAGGTGCTCCAAATAATACAGAAATAATAGACTGATACAAAATTAATACATTTTGTATTATTTTCCAATTTTTTTTTTCAAGGTGTTCCAAATAATACAGAAATAATAGACTGATACAAAATTAATACATTTTGTATTATTTTCCTATTTTTTTTTTCAAGCTGCTCCAAATAATACAGAAATAATAGACTGATACAAAATTAATACATTTTATATTATTTTTGTATTTTTTAGTTCTTCTCTAAATTGTATTATTTTTGTACTTTGGATAAGGATTTAATACAGAAAAAATACAAGAGTACAGAAAAAATACATCAAGTGTATTATTTTTGTATTTTTACTGAGAAATAAAGTATATTAAAAATATATTTTTTTGAGTTTCATTTCTAAGAAAGTGTATTATTTTTGACCTAATTTGGAACCAAGATAAAAAGGGTTCCAAATTTGGTCATTAAAAATATACTTTTTTTGTATTATTTTTGTATTATTTTAATCTATTATTTTTATATTTATTTTCGATATGGGCAGAAATAGTTACCTTTAGGTCTGTAGATGTGAGCTTTTCCAGTTTTTTTGACATTTTTGTGGTTGATTATTGAAAAACATCTTCAATAAAATTGCTTGGGAAAATGGGTAAATTCAAAATGTTTTAAGTCTGTGACAGTCTTATCTTTTGGCCTCACCTACATAGCAGGGTACAAATATTAAGCCTAAGGTTATAGGTTGAAATCCCATTTAGACAGGAACACACCTGAAAAAATGATTTAAAAAATTATTAATGAAAATTTTCTACTATCACTGACTTTTCAGTACTAGAAACATGCCAAAACTAATACTGAAACAGACAAGAGATGAAACAAAATTTATATATACATATGCATGTACAGTACTATGCCAATCCAAGAAATCATCATACTTTTCTACCAGTAATTTGAATGGAAATTGTGATTTCATAAAATTATGACCTGCTTTAGGAAAAAGTCTGTGTACAATAACAGATTTAAAGTGAAATCTATTTTCTGTTCCAGATTACCAAGTTGTCTTTCCCGTTGTTGTTGACAATAATGGCAGCTTCATCTCCCACTGGAACTCAACTCATAGTTCACAGAATCATAAATTTACCAAAGATCTTCACCTCAACATCACAGGCTTCAATCAAACATTCCAACTCCATCTCCATACCTCGGCCAATCTTCTGGCCCCAGGCTTCAGGGTCTACTATCGCCATGGTAACGGCTCCCATAGTAACAGTACAGAGGAACACAGCAGTGGCTGTGAATTCAGGGGAACTCTTCTTTCTCACTCCACGGAGGCAGCAGTATCCTTGTGTGGGGGAGTGGTAAGTCTTTCAAGCAGCATTTCTATTTTTAGGAGGGGAGGGGGGTCAAGTATGACCTTTGGGGCAGCATTATCTTTTTTGAGAAAGGAGGGGGGGGGGTAAGACTCAGCTGGGGGGAGATAGTCTGAGCTTGAAGTATTATCATTTTTATGGGAGTAATAAGTCTTAGATATGAGGCAGCATATATAGATTATTTTTGGGGGGTGGGCCTTGAAATTTCCCATTCATTTATCCTCACTGGAAACTCTCACAAAATAATATCTCCCTCAACAAACCAATCCCCACCTCCATGTAGGAGACTAAATTCTCTCACAAAGCCTTTGAAGACCATCAAAAATGAAAAGCAGCAAAAATATTTTTTTCAAAAAAATTGCCAAAGATATTTAGTATTAGCTCCTACTGGAAAAACCTGAGTTACCTCATAAGAATGGAAACATTTCTCCAAAGTTGATGCCAAGGAAAGTTTGATAGCATTTTATCTCTTTAAGATAAATTTTGAAAGAACTGAAGTGCTGAATTTGTCATTAGGAGAAAGTACAAGAAAAATTAAAGGGACCAAAAAATTCCAGCAAGCCAGACATTCTTCCTTGATGACAATTATTGTTAAAGGCGAATTCTGGTGGATTTATGGTCTCAGTCAAATTAGTCAAAAACGTTCAAACAAAGGTCATCAACTTTGTCACTAGAGGGCCCTTACTATCTGGGGGTACATAAACATGCTGCTTACTAGTGAAAACTGTTTTAGTGCACCCTAAACACCCCAAACTTACCAGGGCCTGAAGTATGTCAGATATTTCGATAGATAACGGGTGATTAGGGTGTCCTTTGAACTCTATCTGAGATGGCCTCATTGAGATAAAGAGTATTTGGAAAATTGGCCCTGTTGAGTATTTTAATAGCTTTACAAGTGAAATTTTTAAATTTAAGTGAAAACTCATAAATCACACACAGTTAAGATTGTTTAGATTCCATGTAACGTTTTAAAGAAAGCTTACAGTTAGGGATAATTTTTAACAATATTTGAATTCAAAGCACTTAAAAAATTGACTTAAAATATTACATGAACAAAGTTGAATTGAGGCAGTCTGATCATATTGAAGAACATTAAACTTGTCTTCTTATTTAACCTTACTAAGGAATTTCTTGCAAATGAAGGAAATTGTCATAAATAACAAAGTAAAGAATTTGCTTATCAGGAAATCATGGTTAAAGATTAAGTTTTTTTTTAAATTTCTTTTCACTATATTCATAAAATTGAAATTATGATGAATCTCTGTAACAATGAAGCAATATTCATGGTCCTGTATTGTTTAATGTTTTGAAACCCCCAAATTCACTTTAGTCTAGATTTTTAGCTCACCTGAGCTGAAATGGAGGGGTCACAATGGGAGATCAAGTAATGTTTGGAAAAATCTTTGAAAATCTTCTTTTCAGATATGGCAAAATTATACATGTATGCTTTATTGATATAATTACATTCTTAAGTAATAGAAAATTCAAATCCCCCCTCCCCAACAAGTAAACTTTTCAATACTGAGCTGATTTGTGTTTTTTAACTAGCTCATGTGCTCAGGTGAGCAATGTGGCCCATGGGCTACTTGTTAAGATTCTGGGAGATTTTTTGCTAAATGTGTAATTCTTTTATATTTCTATGGCATGCCAAATTCACAAAAATGAGATAATCATAGTTTCACAATTGATAAACTAGGTTTATCGACTGTAAACTATAGTTGACAAACCGTAAACTATAGTTAACGATTCGTTAAGTATAGTTTTCATCTGTAAAACTATATTTAATGATTGTTAACTATAGTTTACGAATGTTAATTTAAGTTTATCTGTCTGTAATAAAGCGTTAACAATAGATTTTGTTGATAAACATAGATTCATGTTTGTAAACTATAGTTTACAATCGTAAGCTATAGTTAAGAGTTGTTAATCATAGTTTCACAAATTGTGAAACTATATTTATCAGATCGTTAACTATAGTTAACGGTTTGTAAACTATAGTTTACAAATCATGAAACTGTATTTATCAGATAATCTATGTTTTGCAATCGCAAATGATTGTTTTTGGTGTTAAGTATAGTTTACGGTTGTGAAACATAGATTATCGCGTTAACTATGGTTTACAGATGTGAAATATAGATTAACGTTGTTAACTATAATTTACGGTTTGTAAACTACAGTTTACAACCGATAAACCTAGTTTATCGATTGTGAAACTATGATTATCTCATTTTTGTGAATTTGGCGTGCCATATATTTCTATATTATGACAAATTTAGACTGGGATCTTAAAGACGGCAGATGATGATTACGTTATTGAGCCAAATGCTGAGATGATGTCGACAGAGAAGACGGAATCTCCGCAGCCTCACATCATGTATAAAAGATCCACCATAGCGCAAAATACTCCTCATGTCTACGACAGTCAAACATGTACGTACTATACTTCTATGTTTATCATGAAAAATTAGCTAAGATGATGAAGAGAGAAAAAAAGAACTACTGTAATACACTATACTTTGGTGTTTGCATTCTGCATAAGAAGAAGTTACTGTATGCATGCCTATTAGCCCTATCACGATAACTACAGTGTTACTCTTTTGCAGGGCAAGTTAATTACTTTTTGCAAAGTTATTGTTGATAGATAATTAAATTATGTATATTAAACAATTGCTTTTGCATCATTTTTCAGCAAAATTTATCATTTTGCCCTTCAAAAGAATAGTACTGCAGGTATCATTAAAGGGTCTATTATTGTTACACTTTAAGCTTTTCTCATTTCATGAAAATTATACATGTGAAACTGATATGATGATACTGAGATACTTGAATTGCAAATTAAGTGGAAGAAAAATATACTAATTAATAAAAAACTTACAGCATTTAAAAATAGCTCCATACAGAATTGAAATTTCTTTACTGATTTAGGGTGCAGTTAATCACCAAATAGGGTACAGTTTCACATATTCTGAAATGAATGTCATTTATATGTGCAGATAATCCATATCATGAAAATACTGACCAATATTATAACCCAACGAGAAGGAAACGTCACTCCGCCAAGCGCATGTCCCATCACGTTCAGGAAAAGTCTGTGGAGATATTAGTCGTCGTAGATAAATATGTATACTGGAAACATGGACGACAAAATGTTACACCTTACGTACTCAGCATCTTTAACATAGTAAGTCAGACATAGAAAATAATCAGTATGAATCATTAGTTATGAGAACAGGTGTTCATAGCTGTCCTCGTTATTTAAGAAACTAGCCAAAATACTGGTGGTAGAGCTAGAGAGCTTGTGTAAAATGTTGCAAATTGTCAGCATCATCAAAGAATCTTAATATTCTTTTCTCAGATTTTTAAATAGTTAATGCTAATTTAAAAAAAAAAAAATGATTTGTGATTTTTCATGATACTTCTCCACTTTTAATTTTGGGGTTAGGGGTTGGATAAGATGCTAGATTATTTCAAATGTATAACTTGGGAAATAAAGAAGAAAGCGTTAAAGCTTTTCCCTTACAGTATTATAAAACTAAACCAGTAGGGGTACAGGCATATCAGAGATTTTGAACATTTTCTAAATTTTCTAATCTACCCTGCCATTAACTATAACTACTGGTTATTGCTTATTTTATGTTACCTGAGGATTCATTTGTTAATTTTATATCCTTACAGGTCTCTCAGTTGTTTCAGGATGGCTCCCTTGGTTACAAGGTCAACATTATTCTTGTAGGTCTTATTATTCTGGACAATGAAGAGGTACGTATAATTTCACTGTAAATTAAAATTATTTAATAATTATTCTCCAAAAATACAAGATGTTTATTATACCTTATATTCTTCTTGTTTTAGCCAGGGCTGCTCATTACTCACCATGCAGATAAAACTCTCAATAGTTTCTGTCAGTGGCAGGCAGTGATTGGAGGTCGTCGTCATCGGCAACATGACCATGCTATTTTACTGACTGGCCTTGACATTTGTGCTTACAAGGACTCACCATGTGATACTCTAGGTAAGGTCTACACTGTGAAAATCATTGAGAGAAATTGAATGATCATGATTTACAATAACTGTATTCTGCTTAATGTTTGTACACTTCATGCACAGAAAAGGAAAAAATTCAACTCAATTCAAAGCAATGTCCAGTTAAAATTCGTAGTATTTTACAGGATTTGCTCCAATCAAAGGAATGTGTAACAGACTGAGGAGTTGTATAGTCACAGAGGACACAGGGCTATCTACAGCATTCACCATAGCCCACGAGATTGGTCACAAGTAAGACAACTTATTTCCTATCTTGCTTGTAATATAAGTTTTGATTGGTTGGCAAGTTGGGTGTAAATTTCTGTACACCGGACCTTGAGTCTCAGGGTAGAATTAAACTTGAGGTAAATCCCTGTACACCCTTGATTGAACCTTGATAACTAATGATGGAAAAGAGGTACATAGTAGAAATTCTCTGACCCAAATGTTTGAAATTTACATGAATTTTTATGTGGTCCCTGATTGAAAGTGGGAGGGTATATAGTGATTGGGATGTCTGTCCGCCAGTACATCTGTCTGTTACACTTTGGGTTACTGATCTCCTATGTGCAACACCTCTTATACAACTGAATTAATTAAATGAAACTTTCATAGAATGTTTTTTACATAATGCCATTGTGACCTCTTATTTTACTTTTTGATCAGACACATTTTTGGGGTTTCTCATAGCAAAACATTGACACTGCCATTCTTTCTATAGTATTGAAGGGTACACATCTCTTATCCACAACATCTCTTATACCACTGAATAAAATTTAATGATACTTTCACAGATTCTTTATTATGTAATGCCATTATGCACCTCCTATTTTAATTTCTGATCTGATACTTTTTATGCATTTCCCAGAGCAAAACATGGACTTTGCCATTATAATCATACAGGAGGCGGGGGTATCATTTTGTGAGCTCAGTGCTCACAGTATTTCTAGTATTTTAAAAAGATTTTTTGTTTTGAATATTCATGTAAATCACAATATATAAATATTGCATGTAGTTGAGTATAACATTGAAAATTTTCACCCCAAGAAAACCATTGTCAATCAAGGCGCAGCAGTTTTTTAACAAATGTTTCTTGACCAATCAGATTCAACTACTTTACATGAAAGTATAATATTACAATATGTATGCTTCTTTATTAAGAAAAAATATCAATTTCAAATATTTCACTGTCACTATTTTGTTGAAGTTTTGGAATGTTTCATGATGGAACAAAGAACAACTGCTACCAGAACTCGGGGACCATCATGTCCCCGACCCTCAGCTCCAAGACAGGAACCTTTACCTGGTCCACCTGTAGCAGAGAGTACCTGGCCAGATTCTTCAAGTAAGCATCCAAAACAAATCTAAAGTTTGTCAGGCACTGCATGCCAGAGGAGACAACTGTAAATACACAGTATATTTCCAGGTGAAAGTACATCATATACTGATACACCTAAAATTGTGAGTGTGTCAGGAAGGACTACTCTGTAGTGTATAGAGAAAGTATTCAATAAATACAAGGAGGTCCAGATTTCATCCTAGATCATTAAATTTTTTTGTATTTCTTCTGCACCATTACATCTAACACCGGACTGTTTCAATATCTTTTCAGTACTTTACAGTCGGATTGTTTGGGTGATGATCCAGTCAGAGTTTCCTCCCTTAGATTCCCGGACAAACTCCCCGGCCAGATGTTTGACGCAGATACTCAGTGTAAATGGCAGTTTGGAAAACACGCTAGACTCTGCATGTTTGACTTTGGAAAGGTACTCAGTTTCAGATAGAAAAAATAATATTTGAGGAATAATCAACCACTGAGGCATAAGAATACTTGTACAGTAAATTTCTACAATTTCACTGTCTTAACTTTTCAGAATGAGGTTTGTCAGAAGTTGTGGTGCTACAAGGGAGGTCAAATGTGTGAGACTAAATTTTTACCGGCAGCAGATGGCACATCCTGTGGTCATGGTATGGTAGGTAGGCATAACTTCTGTTTATATAACCTGACAAATTCTCATGATGCATTATTTTTAACACACACACACACACACACACACACCAAAAAAAAAGAGATTTAGCAAGATAACTTTTCACAAATTCTGGTTATCATATATAATAAAAAATATGTGTATATATGGAAGGAAAGTTTTCACAGCACACAAAAAACTGATTTAGTAAAATACGTTCAAGCATGCTCAAGTAAATCTGCATAGTTTGGATAATAAAATAAAGTGAAATATGGCGTTTCGTAAATAATGATACATTTCTTAAACAAACTGTATATTCAAGTATGATACCAGTTCTAAAAGTGAAGAGGAGGTTTAAAACATTTCTTTGTGTCAGAGAAGGTTTTTATTACAAGGTTTTGGGATGTACACTATACTTAAAATTAATTTTTTTTTTATACTTTTTGTCTTTCAGTGGTGTAAGCAGGGTAAATGTGAGTCCTTTGGTCGACAAGGTCCAGTTCCTGTAAATGGAGGCTGGTCAGAGTGGACACAGTGGTCAGCTTGTTCCCAGAGCTGTGGGGGAGGGGTCAAACACAGGTCAAGGACATGTGATCACCCAAGGTCAGGGAATAAAACTGTACATTAAACAATGAAATTCAATATTGAAATCTAATACTGATAATTTAATTTAATCAGACACTAGATAATCACAAAGGAAAACATATGGCTCTGATATTAATTTTCAACAAAAATTCAATGTTTTTCTTTTTATATAATTGAAATCTTGGAAAAGTATGATGATGTTATTATTCTTTCAGGCCACAGTATGGTGGAAAGGCATGTCCTAATGACAAGGAAACACACAAAATGTGCAACTTACAGGTAAATATAATATATTCTGTATACATTGGTAGGTACATGTACTTGACTCTATTTGTTAGACAAAAATTATTGCACTTAATGAAATTTATTTCTCCAGGCATGCCACAGCAGAGAGCGAGATACAAGAGAGGAACAGTGTCGTGCCCACAATAGGGTACCATTCCGGGGTAGAATGTATACATGGACAGCTTACAGACAGATCCATGATGGTTGGTACAGAGAACTATTGCCCCTTAAAATAATAAATCGTTTTTTTTATGCCACCAAAGTTAATTGCTTTATTGTCAGTTTATTTGGAGGATAAATAATTTTCATTACAAGTAGGCTTAGTTTTATGTAAATAATGGCTGTTGTTTTACAGTGAAGGAGCAATGTAAGCTGTACTGTCAGGCGGATGGCTATAACTTTTTCTATGCTTTGTCCAAACAAGTGAAGGATGGCACTCCATGTAATGATTACTCCACAGATATCTGTGTCCATGGCAAGTGTCAGGTAACCTCTACACTAATTATTTAATCATTAAGTGCCTATTTTTTTTGTTTGCCCAATTTTGTAAAATTTTGTCACTAAGTCATATTTGCAATCAGAATACATGTAGAACAAAATATAATATTTCATCTTGTTTATTCTAAAAATGTTAAGCTAAGTGAGCAGAACGGGGTTGACTTTATTGGAGATATTTTAGAGAAAATGTTTCTTATAATTATATCTATATTTAGCTTGTAGGTTGTGACTATGTTATTGGATCCACTGCCTCTAAAGATCAGTGTGGTGTCTGTATGGGAGACAACTCCTCCTGTACTGTATTTGAAGGCCAGTTCAAGTCACAACCCAGGAGAAACAGTAAGGCGTCTGAATTATAGCATTGTTTATTTTGACACAAAAATTAGTTTGATACAAGGTTAAAATGATTGACTAGGCTGTCACATGTTTAATTGACCTCTGACCTCTCTGATTTCAGCTTACTTCCCAGTGGTGGTGATTCCAGGTGGTGCCAGTGGACTCGTTTTCTCAGAAGCAGCCATAACGCCTAATTATCTGGCTGTAAGAGATATCTATGGTAAATACTTCCTCAATGGTAACTGGCAGATGATGTCTGAGGGAGTGTACAATATCGCCGGAACCAGATTTATATACCAGCGCAGCTACAGAGAACCAGAAAAGCTGACAGCTGAGGGGCCCACCACACAGGATATTGTTTTAGAGGTCAGAAAAAATGTCATAATCACTTAATATGATGACATTTCATACAAGTTTTATACAAAGATTTTTCATTTTGTTATTATTAACCACTATATGAATATATGATAGTTAATTTGCAACGAACTAATTGCTACTCAAGATTACGGAATCTTGTTTTTTACAACAGATTGAAATTGAAACACTGATATTGAATTTCTTGTGGTATTGGTTTTGAATTTTGTAATCAGGTTTTGATTTTATTTACAGATTCTGGTTCAAGGAGTAAATCCAGGTGTTTCCTACAAATATACTCTCCCCAAAGCATCAAGCTATCCCATCATTCACAATTACACATGGAGTATCAAACTCTCAGCCTGTGATCAGCCTTGTGCAGGAGGCAAGTTGGCTGTAACTATTGACTATAATACAGTCAATTCTCGAATTATCGCCATTCGATTTATCGCCATTTTCGCAATACCGCCATGATTTCCCAAGAACGTTTTTCCTGCTATATAAAATTCTCTTTATAACGCCAAATTCGCATACCGCCATCCGCCACCCTGTTTTCAAAACAAACGTCCATTTTTAAGTGGATAATACCGCCACAGGTGCTTGTGGTCAGTCAAGCGCGGCTAATTGGTTGACGCTATCCCTGTTGTAAAGCATGCGAAGCCAGTCAAGGTACATGCAATTAAGTAAACAATAATTTTAACATGAATTGTTAGAATAATTTTGTTTTCTGTTTAATAAAATCATTTAGTCAAGGCTTCGCCACGAAAGCGGTCGTTGTAAAGTACGCCGATAACGATATTATTTTGATGATCTCTGCTTATAAAAAGAATGCAATGTTTTTGCTTTAAAAAAAATATAAGTCAAAAATTGTGAACTTTTCATTAACGATGATTTCATAAGCAATGAATTTATTCAAGAACTTATTTTACGTACTATAGGCAATATATCAAGATGATCGACCCAGCATTTTTTTCAATATCAGACGTGCAGATTTACACGCATACACATGTACTTGTCTTAATTTCATAACTGAATATTGTGTTAGCGAAATTGTACATAAAAAAATTACTTGAAGTATTTTCAAATTTAGAAATATGTTTATATATATATATGTACATGTGATAATAAGAATAGAAACGCTAAATGGTATTTCTAAGAACGATAACTCTACGTCTTATTACCTAAAAGATGGAAAAATCAATTCATCGCCAAATTCGTTATACCGCCATGATTTCTAAATTACGAAAGGTGGCGGTTTATCGAGAATTAACTGTAGATTGCAAAAGTTCAGAATTCCTTTTCTCATTACAACTCTTCCTAACAGATAACTTCCCTTGCTACTGTTGACTGATACATTTTTGTTACAGGTAAGAGAACATCTACAGCTCATTGTTACCGTGGTGATGGAGGAGAAGTGTCACCGAGGTACTGTGATCCAAAGTCACGACCCAAAACAGGTGTATCTACCTGTAACGTCCATCACTGTGCTCCCAGGTAATGAACTGTCCCCACAGGTAATCTAGTATGTGTATTGATACATGCTTTTGGAATATATAGCTGCACTAAATGTTCAGTAAATGACAAATCTGTCTGTTATAGATGGTACACAGAGGATTGGAGGCAGTGTTCCAGGCCCTGTGGAGGTGGGGTACAGAGAAGGAAGGTGTACTGTAAGCAGAAGATTAGCCAATCAAACGACAGACACGTCAGCAGACGACGGTGTAACAGACAGCAGAAACCAAAAAGAAGGATTCCCTGTAACACACAGGAATGTCCACCAGCCTGGTACGGAGGGAAATGGTCTCAGGTATATTTAAAAATCAGCCATAGTGGAACTGATATCCTGGCTTTACTAGTTTTATTCATTTTATTCCAGATAAATACACTTCTTACTTTATTGTATTTTGAACTTAAAAAAAGCATTTACACTAGTGTTACCGGTAATACAGGTTCCTTTTAATACTGTCTGTCATCCGTCAGTAAAAGACATATGCGAGATGCAAAAACTATGATTTTAAAACACAGACATTGAATGAGTTCTAAATCTTGTACCCAACTTTTGCATCAGAAGATACTGCTTTCAAATATAATTTTTTTGGCATGGTGGACAGAGAAGAAAGTTACAGTATGCCTCAAAGCATTGAACTTCAACCAAGTGGAGAACCACAATTCTTTGAATTTGCTTGTTTCTCTAACCTTCATTGGTTCTATTTTGTGAATTTGCAGTGTTCCAAAACTTGTGGTAAGGGACTGAAGACGCGTGTGATATCCTGCCGTAGTCGTACGCTGAAGGGCTGGGTGGTTCTGTCGGACAGCTTCTGTCAGCATAAACCTGCCCTGGTCAGGACCCGAGGCTGTCGAGTCAGGAAATGTCCGCCCATTATAGAACACCAGTGGATTCTCTCCGCCTGGTCACAGGTAAGTAATGTTAATATTTAACTCCAAAGGACTCGGACAGCTTATGCTGCCCATCAATCCGAAGCAAATAATTAAAGGAAAAATACTCTAAATTTCGTCTGATTTTAATAAAAACTTGGTACAAAGCTAGACTAAACCATTCCTTTTGTCACTTGACAATACTGTCTATTTTTTTTAGTGTTCAGCAAGTTGTGGTTTAGGTACAAGGGAGCGTAAAATGAAGTGTGGTGAGAGAAGGAATGGACAGAAATGGAACACGGTGAGCCCTAGTCGCTGTAAATCACTTGTCAGATCCTACAGGAGTAGGACAGAGGTCTGCAGGCTACAGGAGTGTCCTAAAGGATCAAGTTCTTACTGGAATGTGTCTCCATGGTCACAGGTACTAATAGAAAAACCTCATCTATCATTGTATTGGCTTATCTTTTAGCTCTTCTTAGCCTAAGGCTCAAAGAGCTAATGATATGGCCATCTGTGCAATGAGAGTAAACTCAATGGAATAAAGGTCATTTATTTAGAACTACTAGGCTGATTTTTGTCAAATTTGCTGTAGAGTAGCTTCGGCACAAGGGCTTTCATTTATACAAAAAATAGGGATGTAACCCTTAAACAAGGGGAAATAACAAGAGAAATTAAAATAATAGTAGTGGTTGCTAAAAAGTCTCTCTCAAGAACCACTCGTCAGTTTATCATCAAACTAATGGAAAAGATGAAAAATTTCCAAACATCACCATGGGTCAACGGCAGTTTCAAGATCACTTCAAAATGAACCTAATATATAATCTTTGATATTTTCCTTACCATAAAGACAATGATTTTCAAATATCATATGATGCATCTTAAAGCTTAGCATGCAACCTGCAGACTCACTGTCCATAGAATGAGACAGTATATTTTGTTTTTTCAGTGTTCTACAACCTGTGACCAGGGAAACCAGACAAGACTGGTTCACTGTCTGAACAAGACTACACAGGAGTTGTCTACAGAATGTAACGAGACAGAGAAACCTATCTTTACCCGACCCTGTGTCAACCAGCCGTGTCCTAAACTAGGTAACAATACTAGTCAACTTAGTTTATAGTCCACTCCACTCAATCCTTCATAAGCCAGTCATGTAAAAAGTTACATGTAGGTAACAGTATTTTACCCAGAAATACTCATATTAATTTAATTTTTTAAAGAAATACTCCAGTACCCCATCACAAATTGATTTCTTACTTATGGAGATTTTAATTTTTTTTCAGATCCTAACTGTACTGATAACTTTAAGTGGTGCTACCTTGTTCCTAAACATAACATTTGTAACCATCACTTCTATGGAAAGAAATGTTGTAAATCCTGCAGCAGCAAAAGATAACGGCATAGAATTGACTAGTACAACTTTTTAATGGTGATCGTGAGATAGACTATCAAATGGAGTGAGAACTGTTTTTATGGACTACAAGAAAAGCTGATTGAACTGATCTGTGATAAACTAATTCAGGTCCAACTCTGGACAACTCTAAGAGTATGTGTTTTTCCTTGAGCAAAATCAAAGACAGTGTATGGATATAAAATGCCGTCTTACAGATACATGCACATGTATTATATACAGATGGGCAGTAACCCAACAAAAAGCTTGGGCAGCAGATTTTGAATCCAGTAAAAATATTTATTGAAAAAATGGGATGACTGTCATACTTTGTAAACCAGAAATACTCAGTGTATCACAACAGAAGATTTATCTAACAGTTCTGGAGTAGGTGAAATATCATACCTCAATATGATCAAAATACAGATCTACCGATAATTATCAGGAAACATTCAACCCAGGTGCCATACATTTATCAAAGCAATTTAACATGACTGTCCCTCCCTCTTTGCTCCAAGTGTCAAAAACAATTTTTTTCTTGCTTTTACAGTCACATCTCGTTATCCTGAACACAGTTAGACAAAGATTAAAATGAGTTATCTGAGCATTTCAAGATAAAGAGTCAAAAGCATAACGAAAATGCTGGGATTGCAAACTCACTTCCACATATAATCCCTGTTATTCAAGGTACTTAGTGTTCAAGATAAAGTTCAACTGTATATGTTGACATTGAACAGGTTTATAAATATACATATTTATTTATATTAGAATATTAATACAATATCAGTATATGAATATACATGTAACTACAAAATCTGTCACACAGTAGAACATGAGGAAAATCTCCAGAGGCAGTATCATTTGTTTCTGTAATTCAATCTTAATTTTGTGCCTGTATAACTCTTGTTTTAATATTATATTTTTTTAAATTACAAAATGTGATGTAATTAGCAGGTACCAGTATAATGTGTGTCTTCTATAGACTTTTTTTGCAAGTATACATGTCTTATATTTATTGTAAATATGGTGTTTTGAAAGAGATGTAGTAAATCTGCAAATAGTGTCTTTAACTATTGTGAAGCAAGAAGGTACCAGTACACAAATACAATGTGAAAATAATGTTTATCCTTGCAATTGTACAGTAATAGTAGGACTTTTCTTTGTACCTTGCAATAATGAGCATGTTTGATGAAGTTATCATTTGAAATATTGTACGCATTTAGCTGCCTAAAATTAAACCACCGACTTTGCTACCTATGACTGCATTGATTAGCTCCCGGCCTACTGGTGCCCTGATATTTGAAGACAGTATTTATAATATGTACTACACATGTACAGTTGTATTGTTATTTCAGGGATGATCATTTTGGAAAATATTTACCTGGTGAGAAATACTCCATCTGTTACAGACAATCTCATTAATTAATATTAATATCATTTTTATTCCCTGTATACATGTATTTAAAAATATATTTATGTATTGAAAGTTTACACATTTGCAGGAATGTATGTGCAATAAATACTTCAAGCACTACTTTTAGGAAAATTTCTGTTCAGTATCAGTTTTTTCCAACAAAGAGCTTTATATTGTATTTAAAATAAAGTCTGAGAAAGTGGACTTGTTTGAGAGAGTCAATGGGCATTATTTATTGCAGAATTTAATTATTATCAAGAATAAAAAAATTATACTGCAGTCAATGGTTATGACTGCGTGATCCATACATTTACATATATATAAGGCCCTTTATGCGAATATTTCCCATGTATGTAATCTAGCCATTAGTTGTGTGTCCAAATGCCCCTCTCACCACCAAAAGTACCACAGCATCATTTATTATACTAATCTACTGGGTACTTGCAATCAGTTCTAACTCTGTGCTTGATGTGTTGAATATTTACGTAGTTTAACTATTTTCATTCTGAATGGCAGAGACTAAAAATTTTTCTCAATTTTTTATCAATAATTTTTTTTTCAATAGTTCCAAAATAAATTTTGACAAATTAAACCATTTCACTAAATTGTTTGTGTGTAATTGTAAAACTCCTAACCTGATGATAAGCAATTTATGCTCTGCTCTCAGGTGACCATCACTTCATTCAGGTAAATTATCAAAGATTTGGTGGTTAACCAGGGAAAATCATGGTGAAAGTGACCCGCAATTTTGTGACATTTCCACACTTTTTTTTAAATTTGGATTATTTGAGCTCTTGTAAATGATGTAGTGTATGTGATGTGCTAATTGAATAATACACTGTACAGCAGTCTATATGTGTTAATAAGTTTGAATTCACATTTGACACTTCCTTTTATAATCATAAATGAATACTTGGTATATGATTATGATTCTGTTGTGTTTATGTTTGTGGTTTTAATAGTTGCACAACAATTTCATTTCAGTTTGTGTACTTTCATACTTTTATATAAAATTAAACTTGAAGTTAGAAACTTAATTACCATTGTTTTATTTTTTTTTTTTTATTTCTTTCAATCATTCTACACATCTCAATAGTAAATACAATTTACAGTTACACTGTATAATACCTTGTTCATCACAGACACATGAGTCACAAAGATCCACATTACAGAATTACTTTAAGTCTGTCTGTCCTAATGTTGACCAGGGAATTATTGCACCACACTTCAACAGCCATTTAACCCACACTTGTATTAATCACCTGTTGGTGTATTCTTGACACATTTCTTTTGCAAACTTAGTAACAGTCCTGGATGACACTTTCATTTCCTCATTTTCAAAATATTTCCGCGATTGTTCTACCCAGAAGTCTTTAGTCCTTTCAAAATACTCCTCCGTGTTTTCATCGTCATTTTTAGTTGGTACGTCACAGCCTTCAAGGATATCCTCAATATCATCGTCATCTGATGATTCTGTTAAAGATCAACATCTCATTTTTAAAATACTTATATATGAAATTAACTATTTATATCCCTTTGATCTTCCAAGTTTAACAATTTAAATGAAATAAGGCAAAGAAAGTAAGGCCAAGATCACAATGTTTGCCATTATGTATACATGTAATTGTTGGAAGTTTGATAAAAATCTTGTAAATGTTTGGAACAAAATGCAAAGTAAGTGCAATAAACAGAAAGATGGGGGGAAAAATTAAATTAAAAAAATACATTCTACTGTAATATATAGCCCAGTCATATACATTTTGAGGCAGGAAACTACATAATTTTCTCTTTTCCAAAGTTAGAAAAATAAAAGGAGAGATAAACGGGGGGGCAGTTGGATTAATGTCAATAAATAATGCCTTACCCTCTCCTTCTTCTTCCTCTCCTCCACAGGCCTCCATCTCCTCGTCTGATGACCCGGAATCATCCCAAACCTGTAACCATTACATTCAAATTGTAAGGACTGTCTTTTATGCATCCCAATATAAATTTTATTGCACATTTTTGCCCATTTACCACTGCCCTAAGGCCATGTCTTGAACAAAACTTGAATTCTTAATTTTTCAAAAAGGTATGGTCCTTCATTTATTGATACTCCATGACAAATGGAGTCAAAATTACTGTACACAGGGTAAAAAGGGTAGATACATAAAAGGGGCGCAAAAATTTTCATGTATACAGTAGCCCTGTGTATTGTGAAAAGTTTAAAGGGGGGGGGGGGGTAGTAATGTCAGTAAAAGGAATTACTTTGGCCATGACTGCCCAAACTAATAAATGATCCATATTTGTGCTAAATTTTGAATATGTCAAAGAGGAACCCACAATGAACTGTGCTCATAAATCACTTGAAATTCGAGGAATAGGTTTCAAGTTTCAAAATTAATTGTGACATAGAATTTAAGAGAAATAATGAGTAAATTTACTAACATTTAAATTTAATATTCTAGGATAAAAAAAATTCCCTCACCAGTTTGGATTCATCATTTTCTATGATCACTTTCCACTCTTCCATTTTGTCCAGATCTAATGAGTAAAAATCCTTGAATGTAAACTGCTTATCTCCCTTTTCAAACATTCCACCATAAAGAAAAAGAACACCGTTTTTCACAGCCATCAAAGGTCCCATCCTGGGGTGTGGCTGAAACACTTTAACTGCCTTGTCCCCATCTTCCCCCATTTCCTGATCAGGGGTAGATCCAAGTGCTGGCCCTATCTTAACCTGAAACACCCCATCGTCAAACATAGCTGACTCAGCGTTGGTGGCTCCCTCTACTGTCTCAGTGTTGGTGGCTCCCTCTGCCATCTCGGTGTCGTCTGCTTCCTCCCTTGCCTCTTCAATGTTCATGTTGCCGACTTTGTCTGTAGCTACCTCCATTTCTTCCTCTTCCTCTCCGTCCTCCTCCATTCCATCTTCACCTCCCTCCTCCTTCTTCCTTCGTCTCTTCTTCTTCTCTGGGGCCTGTTCTCTTTTGCCTCTATACAATATGATGTACCATATATTTTATCTGCATTTTTGCATAACTAAATCACATTGTCAACCATATTAATGAATCAAGTAGGATTCATTCTTTTCCTCAAAAATAATAAAAAACACATTATCTGATTAATAATCAAAATTGAATACCTTAAATTTACCAAAAACCATTTATTTTTCTCCAAATCCAGAAGATAGAACTCATTGTAAAATTTTCCTTCTATCTGCTCTTCATCTTCTTCCTAATGATAAAGAAATGTGTTTTCTCAAATAAGTTATGAAGACAAAAAAAAATTTAAAATACATCTTTTCTTTATCAGTATCAATACAATTCAAATTTGAAATAATTGAAGACATTGAGGAAAAGTTACCTCGTCAAAAACGCCCCCGAAACAGAATGCTCTGTTGCCTGGAGCCACAGAGCAAGACATTCCACACCTGGGGGTGGGGCGGGCACCAGACTGTTTGGCATTGACCCACTTCCACTTGGCAGGAATGGTGTCGTCTTTTAACTTGCCTAAAAAGTTTAACATTGTTGTAAATTTTTTTTTTAAGTCAAAGTTTTTTTTTATTTCTTCAATTACTGAGAACCAATTTTTCCCATCAAATATTACTGGTAAGGTTAACTGGGAGAAAATTCAATAATATATATAATATTATTTATGTTATCAATGTTTCTTCATGGTGAATAAAAAAATTCTGTTGACAGATGTGACATTATTTATAACTGTATATTAATTCATGTAATACTTCCTAGATCAACATTATCAATAAAGATATATTTTTCTGACCTTCAGGTATAAGAATTGTCATGTCAATGTGGGTGGTTCCCTTGTCGACATCTCTCTTGACCTTCTCCTTGCTGTATCCCCCATACACGGTCACCCTGTACTGGTCAGGCATGGCTGCCATGATACAGCCGGACCGAGGGGCAGGAGGGACCCCACTCACGTCCAGCTTACACCAAGTATAGTCCTCCACATTGAAAGCATACACGTCATTGAAGTACCTGTAATCTCTGAAAATGGTGGTCATGTCTTGTTATCCAATGACGCAATGCATCGTTTTATTAATTCAAAAAAGATATAAATACCGAGTCAGATTTTTTTTTACACTTTTTCCTTGTAAATGGTTTAATTATCCTAGCCTACATTTGTACATCTTTTATGATAAAACCTACATTTAGGAGCCACTGGTAAAGACCACAAACCTGATGTTGTCATGGAAACCTCCAAACACAATGAGGAGTTTCTTACACTGGACCATTCTGTGGCCGCTCCTACTGGAGGGGGCACCTGGGGAACTGTGTCAAGAGAAAATTCTGGTCTAAATATAGAATAATCACCTGCACTCAGAAGACGTCTAAAACTATTACAATTACTTAACTGTGGAACTGAATAAAGAAACATATATTTATAAGAGAAAGTAAACTCTTGCATCTTTCCTGTGAAAATTTTCTATTTCTATGTAAAACTTTGGTCGGCCATTTTGGCCCCGCCCTACCCCCAGGGGTCATGATATGAACAAACTTGAATCTACACTACCTGTGAATGCTTCCATATAAATATCATGTGAAAATATGATCAATTGTGGCTTTTTTCTATAAGAAGATTTTTAAAGAATTTTCCTATATAATTCTCTCCCAGTATTTATCTTTTGCTTTCTATAGACTTACTTAATTCTCTCCCAGTATTTATTTTTTCATTAATTCCCAATTCTCTAGACTTACTTAAGTGGTTCTTGAGAAGAAGTCGAAAATGTGAAAAGTTTACAACAACGACGACGACGACAACGACAACGACAGACAACGGACAAATTGTGATCAGAAAAGCTCTCTCCCAGTATTTATTTTTTTCTTGTAAATGGTTTAATTATCCTAGCCTACATTTGTACATCTTTTATGATAAAACCTACATTTAGGAGCCACTGGTCTCCACTGGAAACCTCCAAACACAATGAGGAGTTTCTTACACTGGACCATTCTGTGGCCGCTCCTACTGGAGGGGGCACCTGGGGAACTGTTAATCCTCCCCCAGTATTTATTTTTTTCAATGAAAGTTTTATATAGACTTACTTAATTCTCTCCCAGTATTTATTTTTTTCTATAGAGTTACTTAATCCTCCCCCAGTATTTATTTTTTTCTATAGACTTACTTAATTCTCTCCCAGTATTTATTTTTTTCTATAGACTTACTAAATCCTCTCCCAGTATTTATTTTTTCTATAGTCTTACTTAATCCTCTCCCAGTATTTATTTTTTTCTATAGACTTACTTGATTCTCTCCCAGTATTTATTTTTTTCTATAGACTTACTTAATTCTCTCCCAGTATTTATTCTTGTCTATAGACTTAATCCTCTCCCAGTATTTATTTTTTTCTATAGACTTACTTAATTCTCTCCCAGTATTTATTTTTTTCTATAGACTTACTAAATCCTCTCCCAGTATTTATTTTTTCTATAGTCTTACTTATCCTCTCCCAGTATTTATTTTTTTCTATAGACTTACTTGATTCTCTCCCAGTATTTATTTTTTTCTATAGACTTACTTAATTCTCGCCCAGTATTTTTTTTTTCTATAGACTTACTTAATTCTCGCCCAGTATTTATTTTTTTCTATAGACTTACTTAATTCTCTCCCAGTATTTATTTTTTTATATAGACTTACTTCTCTCCCAGTATTTATTTTTTTATATAGACTTACTTCTCTCCCAGTATTTATTTTTTTCTATAGACTTACTTGATTCTCTCCCAGTATTTATTTTTTTCTATAGACTTACTTAATTCTCGCCCAGTATTTATTTTTTCTATAGACTTACTTGATTCTCTCCCAGAATTTATTTTTTCTATAGACTTACTTAATTCTCTCCCAGTATTTATTCTTGTCTAAAGACTTACTTAATTCTCTCCCAGTATTTATTTTTTTCTATAGACTTACTTAATCCTCTCCCAGTATTTATTCTTGATGTGGTACACCCATAACTCCTTAAAGTGGTGGAACTGGGACTGAGTGGGACTGGCAAATTCTCCACCAAATATCCAGAGCTGTCCACCATGTTGTTTCAGGGCCACTGCCTTTACATTAAGTAATAACAAAATGGAATTTTTCAAATGAATATGTAATGAATATATTCACTGCTAACACTTTGAGTGGGCTATGAGTCACCCACTAGTTAAAACACACTTAAAGCAAAGTAAAGACATAGAGTACCGATAATAACAAAAATGTACCGGTAGTTGGAAAGGAATCTCTTCACTTTGAATTATAAGAAATACCTTTTTTCTTTTAATTAAAAACCAGTTTAAAGCACTAAATTAAAAGAGGGTAAAAACAGATTGAAAACGTTATCTGTAAAAGAGCATAAAGCAATGGTCAGCACCATTGTGAGATTGTGTGAGTGTCACCCTCACCTGGTGAGAACTCCGAGGGGGAGGGGCATTAGGGGCGGTTACTTTTGTCCACTCATTCTTCTTGATGTTGTAGAAAAACAAATCATTGTACATGTATACCTATTGAAAAAAGCACATAAATCATTATTAATATAGAGTAAATTTGGGAAAAAGCAATACATGTATCAATGATCTGCTCGTAATCTATATCTGACAACTTTATTAAAACAGAATGTGCCTTTCTTTTAAACATCAGATAGAAACAAATACGCAAGTACATCAAGTTAAATTTAAACTCAAGTTATTTTGTAACATCTTACCGGGTACATGAATAAGATTTTAGTACCTTGTTCCCTGTCAGAAATTCTCCACCAAACATAATCAACTCATCTTTATCTGGGTGAGGGGTCAAGGTCATGTTGGATCTAAAAATAATCATTTCCACAATTTTTTATTGAACAAAGACAAACTTTGTGTTACGACACATTATTAATAAAAGCTGATATTTTTTAATAATTGCATTGACTTAATTACATAATATCCATGGAATGTAAATATTTGGAAGCAAAGATTTATGTGGACATACAAATAATTCATGATAAACACAAATTGTTAAAGCAATATGAGCTGCAACTTTGATGTTGGAATTTTTTGTTGCAAAATTGTACATAACTATTTCAATGACAGAAAAAAAACATTAGTAAACTTCTGTGGTTCGTATTTGCGATGGAAGAACTATTTATAAGCTTCGATTGAATCAAAATTACATTATTGTCGTCCTGTACAGTAATGATTTCTTATATAAAAATATGTTGGACTATATATAGAAGTCATTTTTTGAACCAAATATAGCACAAATACCTATATATAACCACCAACACGTGTCCTGTGACTTAATTCTGGCCTTAAGCATGCGTCAAAATTTAATTCGAATTAGCTTCGCTTAGCGTTCACACGGAGCTAATGCGAAGTAATTTAATGCGCAGTAAATTAAATCGAATTAAACTAATTCGCATTAAATTCTCCGTGTGAACGCTAAGTGAAATTAATTTGCAGTAACTTTACATTTAATTCGAATTAAACTCTCCGTGTGAACAGGGCATTATGCTTTATTTTAGTCTAATTGATCATAAAGGATTAAGTTACATTTTAACAGCAAAATTAAATTTTCAAAAATGCAGCTCATATTGCTTTAAATTTGACTTCCATTGATTAAGAAGCAACAGAAGTTTAATTTTACTGACCTTTCAGAAGGGGGATCACACTTTTCCTCCACATATCTGGCTTTTTCCTGATCCTTAGCATGAAACTGAGCAATCAGTGTCTCAATGTCATCCTGTGTTTGATCATAAAAAAGACATCATGATATTATCAAAATATTCAAAGTTTTATATTCCCCATTTAATACACATACAAGAAACACAATTATATGTATTTTTTATCACTTCATCCTGCATTGATATTTATGTAATTATGCAATATACATAACGGTAATATCTTTTGCATTTTAGTATCTAGAACATTTTAGTTGCCATTATGCTTATCTCAGCAAACTGAAATTTAAACTACCTGATGATGCTTTCATGTCAATATAACAAATTAAAGCATAACAACTTATGTTATAATAATTCAAAACAAAATAAAATTACTAAAATTACTTAAATTAGTAATGAATTCTAAATAACATGACTGTTCTTTTATTACGGTAGCTAAAAAGCGTTTCTATATTTTAATTTTAAATAGATCGTACTTTACTGCATGCAAGCTTTACACTTACAGTTTGCAGTTTTCCCTTTGTTTTCAATTCTGATCTTAGTCTTGTTCAACTAGACACTCGGCTGTCTCCGTAAATCTCAGACCAGCCAGAGATATCTCTGCTGGTTGAAGTTTACGGAGATAACCAAGTGTCTCAGTTGAACTACACTAATTCTGATCTCGGCACACCTTTGTCGATTCGAAAATGTAACTCATTTTGTTTGAAGAGGGTAACGGATTCAGCCGATGTTTGCTGAATGATCTCGATAGCATGAAGAGTCAGAGTATAATTATGGAGACAGAGAAGCCGGTTAAATACCTTTCACTTGGTAGGGCTAATGCCAGTAAAAAGCTAAAGAAAAAATACAACACCAGGGAATTCTTAAGAATAATACGGCCTGATACATTGTAGGTGTAGGTAACTGTTTAAGGTTTTTGCTAAAGACGGTAATCTTCTTTATAAGAGCTCTGCTTGTTATATAGTTCATTAGTTGCAGTCAGGCACTGTTGCTGGACACATAAGTGATCACTTAGTTTGTTTCAAAGTGTGTTTACCTCTCCTCTCTTTGCCAACTCCTTTTTGGCTTTTTTCTCAGCCTTCTTCTCTGTTTTTAACGCAGTTTTCTCTTTTCCTTTCCCCTTTTTATCAGCCTTCTTTTTACCCATGTTAAACAATCTTGCACCATGTGTGCAAAAAGTCAAGGTTGATCTCTCTCTTGATTTAATGTTTTCATCTACTTACAAAGTAAACACACAGATGACTTCGATTCTTACAGGCTCTCCGGAAATATTTTTTCCACACAACAACCCCATGTAATCTTTCAAAATGGATGGTTTTAAAGTCGTTACCAAAAAACGAGGAAAGAAAAAACAGCTTGCAACAAATGTGAATTGTAAAGAAACATGTCATATTTCAGGAGATACCCACGACGCGATTGCTGTGAAGAAAAAGGCGCTCTCAACAAAGTAACTCGAATTTCCTCTATTTTCATTTCGAATTTACACTATTTTTTTTCATAACTAATGGTTTTGTTCTTATCAGTGATGTCGTTATGATGAAATGAATATATATGTTTACTTATTTTTCTGCAACAAGGAGTTGCTGATGACTTACACATTTTCATTATCAAATTACGTAAGACTTGTCGGCATTTTTATATTCTTTTTTAGGGAAAGTTTGTGCTGCACAGATTTTTACACAGAAATGAAAGGTAATGTTCCTTTAGCATGGAAAAGGTATGCAGGCGCGGATCCAGGATTTGGAGTTAGAGGGGGCGCCAAAATTAGGCAAGGGGACTGGGGGCCGCTTGAGGCCCCCAGTGGATCAAGGGCAAAGCCCTGGTGGGGGCCCAGGGGGCGAAGCCCCCGTAAGCTCCTGGATTCTAGGGATTTTGTAGGGTAAAAATGAGGTCTAACAAGTAGACATATTTGATTTACCCTAACTTTGACAATTTTAGGGGGGGCGCGCGCCGGGTGCGCCCCCCCCCTTAAATCTGCCACTGGTATGGCAGAAAAAATATTACTGACTTCATTTTTGTTCATTTGTTACCCTGTTTCTGGGCTATTCAGTCTAGCTGGTACATTTTAGTACAATTTATTTTAACCCAGCAGGAGCACCTAATGCTCTTTAGACATAAGGTAACAATGGTTACAACCATACATTACTTTGGTGACAATCAGATACAATGATAGTAAGGGGACTTTTTTGGAGGGGGGTGTCAAATGGGTTACAACTACAATATCAATTTGATTACGATTACCTATGTTGACAGATCATCATCAGTTAAAGACTCGAAAGACAATTAATTGAACAAACTGTTGAATGGGACAACTTGAAAGTCAACTGAATGAAAATTAAACTTGCAAATATTGGTCAAAGGAAGGCAATTCATGGCTGATGACAACTCATCAATATATTAGATGATTTTGTTGTGTAAGGATTTGGGCCATGGATATTGGCCTGGCTAGCTCAGTAGAGCACCTGAATAGTGATGCAGGGCCAGGGGTCCCAGGTTCGAATCCTGGTTTGGTCATTCATTGCTACATTCGGTCAATTAATTCCTATTACAGTTTTACATGTACACTACTTTGTCTTTGTCATTTTTCAAACTGCATGAAGTCATAGCTGAAGCTGTGGTTTCACCAGCTGTTCATCTTTATTCCATCTCAAAGGAATAAAAAAAAATTACGGTAATATGGTTTTGTATACCTGTGCCATAGAAGAATTCAAATTCCATTTTATGAAACAGCAATTGTCAAATCCTAAAGAAAGTTTATTGCTGTTTTGCATATATACCCGGTACATCAGACCTTCATTTTTTTCCTGCCTTGTAAAATTGTTATGAACTGTTATAAATACCCCAGACTTCTGATATCTCAGTGAGAAAAATCAATCACTTTCTTAGATATCCACAGATTCTCACTCAAGAACTTTTTAGCTCTCTTAAATTAAAAAAAAAATTCCTTTCATTGCAGGAAAAGTTGAAGAGTGTATAAAGAAAGTTACTGTTTCTGACAAAGTAAGCATCTTACTGATAAAGTAAGTATCCTTTTGATATAGAAAGCATCCCATTGTCAAATTAAGCATCTTATTGTCCTAATGATAAAGTGACATCCTATTAATAAAGTAAGCATCCTATTGAAATAGGAAGTATCCTATTGATAAAGTAAGCATCCTATTGAAATAGGAAGTATCCTATTAATAAACTAAGCATCCTATTGATATAGGAAGTATCCTATTCACAAAGCAAGTATCCTGTTGACAAAGAAAGTATCCTATTCATTAAGCCAGCATCCTGTTGATAAAGTAAGCATCCTATTAATAAAGTAAACATCCTATTGATAAAGGAAGCATCCTATTGAAATAGGAAATATCCTATTGATAAAGTAAGCATCCTATTGATAAAGGAAGCATCCTATTGAAAAAGTTAGTATCCTATTGATAAAGTAAGCATCCTATTGATAAAGTTAACATCCTATCAATAAAGTAAGTATCCTATTGATAAAGTAAGTATCCTATTGATAAAGTTAGCATCCTATTGATAAAGGAAGCATCCTTTACATAAAGTAAACATCCTGTCGATAAAGTGAACATCCTGTCGATAAAGTAAACATCCTATTGATAAAGTAAACATCCTGTCGATAAAGTAAACATCCTAATCCTTTTGATAAAGTAAGCATCCTATTGACAAAGATCTTATAACGAGATAATGATTCTGACAAAGTATACACCCTATACTGTTTTTGTGTATCAGCAGATTATACTATAGCTTTAACTAGGCTTACTTTTGTTCGGTGCATCGATTTACCCAAAAGGACCCAAAAGGACCCAAAAGAACCCAAAAGGACCCAAAAGGAACCCAAAAGGACCCAAAAGGAACCCAAAAGGACCCAAAAATATATATATAATGTAACAATTTAGAACATGTCATTATAAACTTAATTTATCATATATCATATAATAAGATGTAATAAAACAGAAGGAGAAATATAATACAGTGCACTTTGTTAAATTCAGCCTCCAGATTTAATGATTGATGTGTTTTCGTAATTTCTTTAAGAAAAGTTGCAACAATATAAATGTATGTTTTTGCCAATTTTTAGGTAAATTTATAATATAATATTCATAATTTAATTCAAATTATTAATTTTCAATGTCCTTTTGATTTCCTTTTGGGTCCTTTTGGGTTCCAGTCCTTTTGGGTCCTTTTTACACTTTTGTTGCTTAAATATATTTAATGTAACAATTTCTGATTATAAATTCTTCTATTTCTTCCTCCATTTTTCAATTTCCCTGTTGTCTTCAGTTTACATGGACAATCTTTTACATTCCTTCTGTATCAGAATATTAATTGGAATACATTGTATCTGACAGATAACGAGCAACTTTATTTAAAAATTTAAAATCCATTTATTGAAATGTTATAAAATCATCATTTTATATTGCCAGTGTTTAGCTAAGATTGTTACCTATGGACTTGGAAACTTTGCCGAATGTTTGATCTCGAGATATCAGCTGGCTCTTCTGTTAGCCCTCAGAGAGGATTTACAGGTAAATAAATGATAAAATTGTAATGGTCCTTGACTTCCATTTAAGTTACACATGGTAATCAATGACTAAGTATCTTAATTAAGTATAGACATTATAAATTAGCAGGTATATACCGGTAACAATAATTGGTGTCAATGTTGATGTATTTTCAATTAAGGAATGTTTTTAAGTTTTGTGTGAGTTATTGGTGTGTGAATCACTTGTCACATAGGCATATTTCATGAAGCGTGCTAGCGCTTCATGAAAAATATGTCTACATGCAAGTCTGTGTGATTCACACACCAATAATTCACACTAAACTTAAAATCATTCCTTATATTTACATTTTACATGTTTGGAAGCACCAAAAAATACTCAATATTTGAATTTCTCGCTGCCGTATATGTTATACTTTTACTAACGTCGCTGTAGGCAGTGTAGCCTTATTGTGACATCACGTTAGCGCATGTTTCTCCGTGTATATTACTACGCATGAGTATACACAAAAATGACTTTCAAATCAATTTCACAGTTGGCTTTGTAGAAAAACACAGCGAATGTAAATATTCTAAATTGGTGGAATACAATATCTTGTTTATCTACATTTTTTGAAAATCTGAGCTTAATATAAATCAATTTATATCAAAAATTATTTTTAATTTTTTCTGTTAAATAAATCCACAAAACAGAAGAGCCATATTGTTATCCGTTTTTGTCCGTCGACGTGCGTTAACATTTGAACATTTTCAACTTCTCCTCTGAAACCACCAGACCAATTTCAACCAATTTTATGGGTGAAGGGGAACAAAAATTGTAAATTTCAGGGTCCCCTGCCCCCAGGGGCCTGAGGGGTCAGGTGTGGCTAAAACCCCCAAAATTAATGCAATCTTTAAAAATATTCTTTACTCCTGGACATCAAGCAGTCAAACTGTTGGCATGATTGTAATAAGCAAGGAGCTCTCTACCAAAATTGTGAAATTCATTGCCCCAGGGTCAGGGGTTCTGGTGTTAGGGAGGGGCTATATAGATCATATAGTGAAAATGCATTATTTCTTTGAAAATCTTCTTCTCTGCTCTTGGGTATTAAATAAACTAACCAAGTACATAGTTATGCTGAATAAGGCTGCCTCTTCCAAAATTGTGAATTTCATGGCCCTTGGGTCAGAGGTTCTTGTGTTAGGGCGGGGCTATATAGATCATATAGTGAAAGTGCATTATTTCTTTGAAAATCTTCTTCCCTAATCCTAGGTAATAAACATACTAACTACATGTAAGTACATAGTTATGATAAATGCCTCTTCTAAAATTGTGAATTTCATGGCCCCTGGGTCAGGGGTTCTCCTGTTGGGGGGGGGGGGGAGGGGAGGGTTCATTGATTATATAATGGAAATACATTCTTTTAAAATCTTCCCCTCTAATCCTGGGTATTAAATTAACTAACTAAATAGTTATGATGAGCAAGAGTGCTTCTTCTAAAATTGTGAAATTCATGGCTCCTGGGTCATGGGTTCTGGTAAGGGGGGGGCTCATTGATTAAATAGTGAAAATACATTAATTCTTTGAAAATCTTTTCCTTTACTGCTGGATATTATGCGAATGATCTAAGTACATACTTATGATGAAGAAAGGTACCTCTTCCAAAAAGATTAATTTCACTGCCCTTGGGTCAGGGGTGCTGTTGGGGGGGGGGGGGGTGTTACATAATCTGGAAATGAATTAATGCTTTAAAATTTCTTCTTTGGTTATAATTAACCATTTGTGATGAGCAAAGATGTCTTTTTGAAAATTTTGAAATATGTGGCCTCCAGGGTCAGTGGGTGCGCAACTGGTTCAAAGAAAGTGTAAATGCATTTTGTCTTTGTTACTCTGATCTACCTCTGGGAATTAAGTAACCAAAGTAAGCATGCTAAGTGTATAGTTATGATAAGCAATGAAACCTCGTTCAAAATTGTGAATTTCATGGCCTCTGGTTTAAAACACGAACCAACTCAATTGTTGGAAAGTTGTTACATGATACTCAGGTGACCTTTAAGGCCCATGAGCCTTTTGTTCCTTTTTAACATATAAGATTGTCACCATTGCAGATCTCTCCCCCAGGTGTTCAGCTTTATGACCCCAAGTTCTTCACGGCTGAGAAGGAAGTTTTGTCAGAGTTTGGATTCCATGTTTTAAGTGAAAATGAGGTAAAGACTTTAAATCTGACTTTTTAGAGGAAATTTTATCTTGTTGGCATTATATGTTCATATCAGCCTCTTCGATAGAGAATTGGGTCTCTGTGCATCATTCATGTATTTCTACAGAAATTCAGTTAGAGATTGAAAATGTAAGCAAATAAACTCTGTATCATATTTTGTAACCAATGAGTTTACTTAAGTGACAAGGTTCTCTTTGTATATTTTATACTTTTACATACAGTCAAATCTTGTTATCTCAAATTCAATGGGACTGAGAAAAAAAAACTTTCAGGTTTCAGAGGATTTGAGATAACACTAAACAAATTAAGATAAAATACTTAAAGAATAAGTAGCTGGGAGTTCCAGTTTACTTTGACATATCAGTAGTATTCATAATACATGTTTGAGATACTGAAGTTGAATTTTATATACAAATACTGGGTATTTTTTGGTAAACAAATGTATTAATATGATTTGGTATACATTAGGGCTGGGTATTGGCCCAAGATTTCGTATTGCGATATATTGCGATATTTTTAATTGTATTGCGATATGTATTGCAATATTTTCAATGCAATTTAAGTGACATTTTCTTACTATATTTACTTTAATTTACATGCAGAATGTACATAACTGTATAATACTGAAAAAAATCTTGTTGATTTCATTTAAGTTTAATGCTCTGAAATGTTCCCACAAAACAATTTCTTTCTTACTGTTTGGCTTATTAACAAACTTTCATAAGTCCATTTTTATATTTAATGACAAAATTCCTTGCATATTGCCAATATATCGGTATTACAAAATCGTATTGCGATACGATATTTTTTGTCCTTGTATCGCAATATATTGAAATATCGATATTATTGCCCAGCCCTAGTATACATGTACTTGTTACCTTTTTGGACAGGAAGGAAAGCGATCATGTGACAGCTCCACTCTCTTTTATATGCCTCACTGTGGGAAGAGTCTGTACAACAATCTGCTATTTGCCAACTGGAGTCCAGACCGACTCTGTCATCTTATCATCATTGGAAACAGTTTCTCTAACATGATTCAAAAGTGAGTTCACACACAGACATTTTAAATATGAAAAACTTCATACTACTTAAAAATGTAACTAGTGGGTCAAAAGTTCATTTGGAGTATTGTCTGGTGTAAATATAAGATAAAATGTTTTCTCCATTTTTTTTTTTTCAGTTTGCCAAGCAGTACCATGAAGAAGTGTGCTCCTCTCATTATGAAGGTAAATAAAACTATGAGAAATTGGTAACATATAGATAGATAAAATTTTGAAGAACCCTGAATATTTACATGATTAAGAAAAAAGTAATGTTTTGACATTGCCGGGTCAGCAGAATCTGTTAAAAATATTGGACCTTGTACCATAATTTTCATGATCACACATGATGTTTTGTAAAACAAAATTCATTTCTACTGAATTATAGATACAGCCATACATGGAGGAGATTTTATTGCCAGGAAACTTTCAGTACCAGGACGTATTTAATGACACTGTCATCCTTCTGTTTCCACAAGATAAACTTAATTCACTGGACTCGGAATTCTGGGAGCACTGTCCTGAGCCAAAATATGATCCAGAGGATTTAGAATTTATACCCAAATCTTGAACATAAATTAAATGAATACTTTCTCACATACAACTTGTTATGAATCTTGCTTTGTTATTTACAAGTTTATTCAATGAAGACCTCTGTACAAAGATTATATAATGTGGTGAACCTCAGTACCTTTCTTTATGGTAATTATTTTTATACCTTTGAAAAATGTTTCCTATATAATTCTATACTAAAAAAAAGTCTAACATTTCCAATGTTTTACTGAGCGGTCATTAAAAAATTGATGTTTGACAACTGAGTGAGATGTTGGACGTGCCGATGTGATGTTGGACCGCTTACGTCACAGGACTGGGTCAGCTGTATCTTATTTGCTTACTTGGAGTTTCACAGAACTTAATGGAATGACAGCAGTGTGGGAAAATGAAATTTACATCATGATATGTCAAAATATTACAAGATGTGTTTGTGAACACTGATGCCCCCATGTGGCAGCTTATGGTAAGGGTTGAAGTTTCTCAAATGAAAGTCAAATTCCAAGGTCAAGGTCAATAGGTTAAAATTGTTGGTATCAAAAATGAAGGTCCTTTCACAAGGAATATACCTGCAAAATAGAAAGCCCTAGTACTAACTGTTCAAAAGTTGTGGCCAAGGTTAAAGTTTTTTTTAAGTGAGTCAAACTCTAAGGTAAGGGAAATTGGTAATATAAAAGCTATACCCTTTGAAAGATCTTGTCACAGTAAATACACTTGTGAAGTATCAAAGCCCTAGCTCCATCAATTCAAAAGTTATGGCCAAGGTTAAAATAGGAAAATTTTAGTATAAGTGGGCCAAACTCCAAGGTCAAGGTTACAAGGTCAAATTTGGTGGTACCCAAAGAAGGTCTTATTGCAAGGAATACACCTGTAAAATATGAAAGCCATAGCCTCACCCTTTCAAAAGTTACTGGGAAGGTTCAAGATTTTGAAGACAAGCATACAGACAGACAGATGGACAGACAGAGCAAAACTACATACCCCTTTCCTGAATCTTTGATTAATGGGGCATTAAAAGTAAAAGGTATAACAAAACATTTATTGACTGTGTTCTCAGGCATATGCGTATTGTCGACCCCTTGAAACAAACTATGCCTGAGGCCTTTAGGCCTGACAAAACAAATTCCGCCCAGTCAATATATTAATGTTAATTTTTACTATAAGCAAAGGGGAATAGAATCATTTCATAATCTTCTTTACTATACATACTTCAAGAAAAAGAGGTATTTGGACCCACCCTCACCCTCCCAATCTACCACCTTTTTTACCTTGATTTTACACATAATTTTCTAACATTAAACAAGATGGTGTTTATGAAACTTATAGGGAAGAATAAACTTTCTCAAATGCAAATCAAATACATTGTATGTCGGTGTCCAAAGTAATGTCTTCTGACAAGAAATACACTTGTAAATTATGAAAGCCCTAGAACGACCTATTCAAGGTCAAGGGATCAAAGTTGTTGGTATATAAAGAAAGGTCGTAATAGTCACAAGGATTAAATTTTTGAAATAAGAAAGTCCTAGCCCTAAATGTTCAAAAGTGCGGACCAAGGTTAACGTTTTTAAAAAGTAGGTCAAACTTGAAGGTCAAGGTCAAAGGGTCAAAGTTGTTGGTATCTAAAGCAAGGTCCTGTCAAAAGGATTTATATGTATGTGACTGAAGTAAGAAAGCCTTAGTCCTAACTGTTCAAAAGTTATGGCCAAGGTTAACGTTTTTAAACAGTAAGTCAAACTCGAAGGTCAAAGGGTCAAAGTTGTTGGTATCCAATGGAAGGGCTTGTCACAATGGTTACATTTGTGAAATATACCCCTTAAAAGCTCTAGCACCAACTGTTCAAAAGATAAGGCCAAGGAAGTTAAAATTGGGTAAATTTTGTAAAACTGGTCAAGATCTAGGTCAAAATGTCAAATTTGATGGCACTCAAAGAAAGGTCTTGTCGCAAGGAACACACGTGGGAAATATGAAAGCCATAGCCTCAACCAATCAGAAGTTATGGGTAACGTTAACGTTTTTGCAGAGAAACTGTTTACTGAATGAAATTTAATGAGACTTTCACAGAATCTTTGATACATGGTGCCATTGTACATCTGTTTTACTTTATGATCCAACATATGACACAACAACAAAACAACTTTATATAAACATTCAATGTAAGATGAAGACTACGGAAGCGTATTAGGGCCGCAGAAGTATCTTTTTTTAATTTGTTTTAACAAATTATTAATTTGTTTAAACAAATTATTAATTTGTTATAACAATTTAATAATTTGATAAAACAAATTAATAATTTGTTATAACAAATTAGTAATTTGTTATAACAGATTAATGATTTGTTATATAACAGATTAGTAATTTGTTATAACAGATTACTAACAGATTAGTAATTTGTTATAACAGATTACTAATTTGATATAACAGATTATTAATTTGATTTAACAGATTATCAATTTGATATAACAGATTAATAATTTGATATAACAGATTGATAATTTGTTATAACAAATTAGTAATTTGTTATAACAAATTAATAATATGTTAAAACAAATTAGTAATTTGATAACACAAATTAGTTATTTGATAAAACAAATAAGTAATTTGATAAAACAATTTAGTAATTCGATAAAACAAATTACTATTTTTGACAAAATTTGAAATGTATACAGATCTACGAAAGCCAGATCTAATCAAAAGTAGTATAAGTCGGATTTCTGAAAATAGTTTGTAATGTTAAAGTTTTTTGCCAATAATGCTATTGAGAGCTTTTTTATTATAAAAATTTCACGCATACAAAAGAAATGAATGACACATTAGGTATTTGATATTAAATTTTACCAAGTGCTACCCACTCAAGAATATTGTGGGGGGTTTTTTCTTTCGTTTTCCGGGGAAGGTTGTTACGGAATGTATTTTTTTTTCCCTTGATGATTTATCTGCAAATTCATATTGGTCAATGTTGCCTTTGTTGCATGCCTTAAATAAGATAAATTTTTTCTAGCATACAAATTGGGTGCTATGACCGAAAAGAGTCGGAAAGGGAAGGGGGCACGTATGGACAAAGTTTTCTGAAAGCTTCTAAGAATAAACTTTAAGGAATAGAATCAAGGATTTTTATTATGCAATTTATCATGGCATTGATGTTTGAAGTGAAAACTCTCAGCTGCTAAAAGAAACATATAGGTGAAAAGCTCCACTATGTTTCACAAATTCAACATTTTAAAGATTTCTAATCTGATATAGATGCCATAGTTCTGTGTACATGTCAAATGTCCAAAAATAGTAATTTGTTATAACAAATTATTAATTTGTTATAACAAATTATTAATCTGTTATAACAAATTATCAATTTGTTATAACAAATTATCAATTTGTTATCTAACAAATTATTAATCTGTTATAACAAATTATCAATTTGTTATAACAAATTATTAATCTGTTATATCAAATTGATAATTTGTTAAAACAAATTTTCAATTTGTTTAATCAAATTACTAATCTGTTTTAACAAATTGATAGTTTGTAATATCAAATTGATAATTTGTGAAAACAAATTAGTAATCTGTTAAAACAAATTAATAATTTGCTATAACAAATTACTAATTTGTTATAACAAATTACTAATTTGTTATAACAAATTAATAAAAGATGCTGCTGCGGCCCTAATACGCTTCCGTAGAAGACGAATTGAGGGAGGCCATCGAGAGCAAGATTCATGTTGCTAGAGCATTTCACGCCGAAATATAATAAAAGCTGTTATCTGGAAAAATTAAATCTACGAATTTCGAGACTGGTCAGTGTTCGGTAAAAACACATCAAGTATTATTTTTCTGTTTTTAAAATTGCTGACTCAGAAAATTTTCTCATGTATAATGAATTAGCATTAAGCTTTTACTTTATTTTCAATTTTCACATCAGAACATGATATTTTTGTGCATAAAGTAAATCTAGTTCGGCAGCAGAGTAGGTGCCACGTAATGTTTTAGTTGACTTTAATAATGGTTTTCCAACTTTAATCTGGCTTTAATCATGGTTTTCCAATTGGTTTTTTTCAATTTTAATCTCGGCTTTTCTATAGTTAATATATTTAATCTTATGGTATGTATAGGGTATCCCACCTTTGCTCTGAATAAGTGTGTTTAAACTAAAGATACGATAATTAACGAAACTATATGAATTCAAAGTATGAATTCTTATAACTTTGAAATTCCTCTACCGATCGTCACCGTTATAAAATGTACTACTTCTACATGTATACACCGGAGTTGTAGAATAAGGTTTCCACCCCATCCACCCCCAACCTACCCCCATCCCGAGAATCTATATATAATCTAGAGGAGGATTTCCTCCCGAGTGAAAATATACTACACAAGACCCAGGTCTCACCGGTGTACGAAGGGCATGAACCACAAATTTTGACCCCGGGTTGAAAATTGACCGGGGGTCATTTTTCAACGTTGAATACTGAGACTAAAGGTGTTGAATTTAGACCCTAATCCGTTGAAAACTGAGCCGGGTCGTGGAATTTTGATCATGAAACCGGTTCAAAATTCAACAGCATAAAAACACATATTTATGATTGGGTTTTCACTACTGTGACTTAATACATAGGTATGAGGCCCCGTTTTGGTATTTACTGCAAAAAGTAATATCCCTTATTTGAATAAGTGATATCACCTGTTCCAATAGATGATATTATACTTTCATGTAAATTACTTGAATCTGATTCGTCGAGAAACATTTGATAAAAAACACTACTACCCGCTGAATAATGAAGTCACGCCCTCTGCGTAGCAACAGTCAACATTGCTTGACGACGGGTGGTATTACAAAAAATAGCAACTGCGCGGAATTTCTGCGCGCACGGTTCACTGTAATATGTATTTGTATAAAACATTCAGTATAATATAATAAATATTGCATGTAGTTGAGAGTAACATTGAAAATTTTCACCCCTCGAAAACCATTGTCAACCTCGGCTGCGCCTCGGTTTTCTTGGGGTGAAATTTTTCAATGTTACACTCAACTTCATGCAATATTTATATAATATCACTA